TATATATATTTAAACCCATGTATGCTTCAATTTTTCAATCTTTATAGCTCTATAACACTCCATTATTTTTTCAGCAAGATGAATGGGTGGTTTGCCGAATATTCCAAAAAAGTGCAGGAGGCAAAAAGTACCATTGTAACAATTCAAGGGCAGTTAATAGGAACCCCTACACTCTAGAGATCAATAATCCAAGTACCATGTCCTCACAAATGATGCAAGTTGATCATGGCTTCCAATTAGCCATGAGAAGATCAGGTTCCAGAAATTCAAGAATTCAACAAGGTTTTTCGTGGCGCTTCGTCGTCTAATATGAGCTTCCCAATCCAATCCCAAATGAACTCCTACAACTTAGGTGGAGGTAGTAGTGATGGAGGAGGAGGAGGAAATTGTTTTACTATTTCAGGCTTGAACTTAAATCTTGGTGGTGGTGGTGCCACCACATCTCAGCCTATTTTAAGGCCAATGCAACCGCCACCGCTGCCACAAGTTATGAACCAGCAAGATATGAGTTCTAATGACGCCGTGCTTATATCAACTGATGAGGCTGGTTATGCTGCAAATACGAATATTAGTGGAAATACTATGAATAAATTCATGGCCATAGAGAATTGTACTGATTTGGAGAACTATTGGGCTCCCTATTGATCTATAAAGATTTCCAGATTGTGTTGCTTAGATCCCTCAAAAATTAATAATCACACTCAAGTCGGATCTTCTAAAAAATGCATGTTTGGAAGATCCGACATGGGATTTGACAGAGGATCCTAACAACATAGCTCCAAATAGAAGAACGTCTAAGCAGACAAGTTCTATCTTAAATTAAGTACTAGCTAGTTTGGCGTTATATATACATGGATCTATTTACTTCTAAAGTTATTACTTAGCACGTGTATCGGTTTATTTTTAGTTCTAGAGAAGCCACTTAAGGTTTGAAAGAGTGACATTATTTTGTGGCTTTCTTGCTTCTTCTTAGTTTGAGTAGAAAGGAAACGATGGAAATGGAAAGGATAGCTTACTCTGAGCAAAAAACCACCTATCCCTCCTTCAATTCCATTTCCTTCTAAATACTTCATCTAAACATCAATAAGGTATTTGCTAGGAAATGAATTTACCATCTGCGTTTTCAAGAAACATATATAGGCCCCTTTTGCTTTGTCATTCTTAAAGCTAAGAAATTGTTTAATGGAAAAGTTTTTTCCTCTGTTACCGATTGGGTTCAACTATATATTGTTGTTTTGTTTTCCATGACTTGTTTCGATATCTTCATTAAACCCGATATAGGTCATGGCATTCTATACATATACAAAAACAATGGTCTCTTTTTTTGACAGCCGAAAAATCTACAAAAAAGATTCTGGCTATTGAATGTTCTGCGCTACCATGGCCAAAGTTTTCTCGGAATGCCTAAATTTGTGTAAATATCAAATATGATTAGAAAAGATAATATCAAATATGAGTATGCAGATCTTAATACAACTAAGACAAGATTTTTTGTATTTTAATAAATAATACAACTAAGTCAATATAACTTTGATGTGGAAAAAGAGACAAGTTTCTAACGTAACAGCACGCAGATCATAGTTACACGAACCAAAGCAAAAGCAGTGATACACCAAAAAAATATCAAACCTACTCCTCTGTATCCCCAATTTATGCTTTATGCACATCATGAAAAACCTACGGCAAGAAACTTCAAAAACAAGAAGGTTCTGCACGATGACTCGACACTTCAAACATCCCGCGCAACAGAATGACAACCAACCTGCAAAAGATGAAACAAACATATCAGGTGTCAAGCAGTGGAGGACAACACAATAATCATGTGCCTATACGCATATCCTTTTTCGCCACATAAAGAAATAAAATTTTTGACAGGTAATTTAAGGCAGCATAGTTTTTACTGCTTTATTCCCCCAAAAGACGCATAAATTCAACAGGAAATTGCCCCATATCTTCAGGGAATGTGTTCATCAATTATTTGAGGATAGATTTGGGGTGAACATTGTTAGACAGATAAACTTGAGACATGTGTTACTTTAGATTTTCGGCATACAGCAGACTAACCATACGCAATATCCTTCTTCCTTCATGCGAATCACAGGAGAGGCGGAAGGAGCAAAGCTCATTTCCTTTCAGGCTAAAGCTACATATAGAGAAGGGCTTGCCGCACTTTCCAAAAAAGATGAACTCTTGAGTCTCTTCCGTTTATTTCTGTTGCAAGGTGTTAGAAACCAAAGAAGTTCTATATTTCATATCTAGAAGAGAAGATTACAAGGCCTATTTATAATACTAATTCACCTAATCTATTAGTTGCCATACACCTAATGTATGTCAACACAAGGCATCAGCAATTGCTCACGGTCCATTAACATGAATATTAAATTGTGACGGAGTCTTCATTTTGTTTTTGTACAGACTCTATGAGAAAGTGACCCCTCAAAAGTTTTACTTCCACCTCTCCTTCATCACTCGGGGGTTTTCTTGCTGATAAGGTGAGTGACTTGAATTTGGTCTCTATTAGAGATTATACATTTTTTTGCAAAAATCACCTTATTGCAGCAACAGAACAGGTTCAGACAGCATATGCCAAGGATCTTCAGAACATTTCTTAAAGAGGCGATCTAAAAAACATGCTATACTACTACCATTAACCTTATAAATCTGAAAACCTAAAGCTGTAAATCTGATCCACCGAGTCACATGGAAAACAGGAGTATAAATCTGATGCAAGATATAAATGCATCCATTAACTAACTCAAACGTGATACCTGTGACTGTAAAGCGCTTGATTTCTGATGAAAGCAATGTACTTCCTACTTGTCTGCGTGTACCCTCTTGGCCTTACGACGTGAATGGTGTGAATGACCATTTCGGCTGGGTTTCTTTGCCTTTGTGCTGCAATAGATAATTAAAGGCAGACAATGCTGAGCCACATTAAAAGAGTAAACCTGCAGAACTTTAGAAGAGAAGGTAGATCACTGCGAATTTGCAAACAAGGGAGCAGAGAAAACTGTGCTAACCAGAAAATGGCCGACAAAAGTTTGAACAGTATCATAACAGGCAGAGCCAAAACCGCTGAGGCCTACATCATAAAAATCAGCACAAGTTTCAATTATGAGATCTGATCTTCAAATTGAATCAAAAAAAAAAAAAAAAAAAAAAAAAAAAAAAAGAGGATTACGGCAAGATCATAGTATAGGAATAAAAGATGCATACAGCAAACCAGACAAACTCCTTTGTTGCAAGAGGTCTTGTAAGCTCATGTTTCTTCAGTGTTTCATCGACTGTGTCTTGCAGCTTCAAGTGGCATGAAACATTGATTTAGAATTGATGGACCAATACAATTCAAATGCTACAAGCAGCATATGTATAATAGCGAAGACATTTGCTACTTCATGGATTCTTCCACCAGTTCATTCAATTTGTAAAAATCAGAAAGAGAAATATACTCTCACTAACTTTTCGGACAATAATATAACCTCCTTACCTCTTCCGAAAGAGTTCAAAAGCTACTCCTCTAATCACATTTTCATTCTTCTTTATCATCTTAATAGGTAAAGTGAAGATGAATCCAACAAAAACCACACACGGAAAATGACAATCATTTTCTCCACTCAATGAATTAAGACATAATAAACAAAACAAACTAATTTGTCCTCTCTGAACCTGTATCCCTCCCCTAATTGTGTAAAGTGATTTTTGTCCCTTTCATTTCAAAATACTAAGGGAAGGATCTATCTTTTAATAGAGAGCTAACTCCCTAGTGGCAGAGCTAAACCACAAAAGCATCAGAACTTGGAGACTGTTGGGAATACACACTGGTAATTCAACCACTCTTCATGCACTGATTCGCAAGACGTTTCCCCAAGTTAATATGGACAATTTAGTAGCTAAAGCAAAATCAGTTTTATAGCAAGACTCTTCCACACAAGAATAAAGAGGAAGCAAGAAAACAGGCAGGGAATGCAACTTAAAGAGCCTACAAGACATTTTTTTTTTTGGAGAAACAAGTTTCAAGGGATTATTGTAACATGAATACACGAGTAACTGACGCAGTAGTAAAATTACTGGAAAAGATTAGAAAGAAACTATGACTGTATATCTTAATCACAAGTACATCTCGGTAAGATCTGAATATTTCAGGGACTATAATATCAATTTGTTTTCTCACACCTGATGATGGTATACTGTTGCAGATTCAAGGAACTTCCCATAATGATGAACTGCCACATCTGTGTATGGCTTTACAGCAATACGGACTTTTTCAACATGAGGTCTTGTAGCAGTGGCAACCTGATCAATGTATGGCTTGCTGAATTTTTTAAGTTCCTGTAGAAAATTATGCTTTCACCACATCACATACATATAAAGCTACAAACAGGTAGCAATTAAAAAGTTGATGCATGTATGACGGAACATGAAACTATAATTTTTTACTGTACTTATTGTTGATACATTAAAAATTATCATTCATTTAAGTGAACTAAGAGTGAAGGGTGAGGTTCAAATGAGGAAAGTCTTACGGTGGGCCTAGTTGGACCCAAAAAATGAAGTATCCAGGTTCCATTTAGGAAAAACCCAATTGGAGCTGAAACGTAATCGGTGAATCTCTATGTATATCGACATGTATAGTGGGATCGTATTAAAAAAGAGCATGTTATTATTTTAGATTTAACCAATTTGATGAAACCCATTGGAAAGGGCAGTGCAAAAGAAATCATGCAAAAATGATCAACCTTCGGATGCCCCGAAAAAGAAATGAGGTGCTCGGAACCCTTCATAGGTGTTGGTTGTGAATGACTTGACTTTTTCAATCTTTTCAACCTTGGTTTCGTAAGAGCAAGTCAGAAAAGGATGTTACCTGAACGTGGGGTTCTGCTAGTTCCTGAACTTTGACGATATGTGGAGTTATGGCACCTTTAGATGTTTCATAAATCTCAAATGTTTTGGTCTTTAGCAATTCTGCATGTGGCTTGAGGTTAGTGGTGATTACCACCCACTGTTCCTTCACAGCTGGCATCCATTTCTACAAACAGCAGCACGAGAAAATTACTAAGATCCTCTATCTTGATCTCAAATACTACAGTAACACTAGCTCGAAAATAAATGTTTAAAGTAGACAATTATATCTACACGTGAAAAAGTAACGAAGAGTCTTCCCAATTCTGGAAGTCATTTTTCTCCTCACTGAGTAGCTTGTCCTACTTAGTCTTGATTTTTCTCCTCCAGAATGTCAGATGACCATATGCCATTTAACAGACAAGAGAACTCACCTCTCGGGAAGAAATAAAGATGCTCAACCATTTTTACTGTGTAAGGTACAACTTATTGCTTTGTTAACATGAAATCTCAAACTAGTCTAGCTTTATTGTTCAAGTACTTATTTCCATGAAGTGATGAGTATTAGTTTAGGTAATAAAATGCTCGTTATTAGAACACCTATTAAGGTCTTTTATTGGTCAATTATCTCAGCAGACGAGATCAGAATTCACAAGAAGAAACAATAAGATTCTATTGCTTCTTTATTAATTTTGCAGCAGCAGAAACACCCACATAAATCTAGTTCTATCTTCATCCGTACTTGCTGAACCTTGATAAGAGGTTAAGCATTTTAACTAATCATACCCACCTATTGTAGATGACTTCTCTATATATTAAATGCGTAGAATGATGGGAAATAGAGAAGGAAAAAGTGGCATGACCACAGGAAGTCACTATTCCATCTTTTTCATTTTATATATCACTCTTTCCATCTGAGACATTCCAAAATATTCGACATCATCCCATTTCTGTCCACCTTTACAACTTCCAAGAATTCAAGTCCATTAAATTAATCTAATTCTTCCTTCTCAAAAAAAAAAATAATCTAATTTTAAAATTTGAGGTAATTTTTACTTATTAAACTGACTCTTCAACCATTGTTTATTATTTTCTTCCACTACCGCAACATACATACACACACACGCACACACATATATCTATATATATGTGTGTGCCATCATATATAATGATATGTATTCTAATTTGGAAGGTCATGGAAAAGTAGAAACTAGACCAAATGAAGCGATAATATAGCAATTAAAAAATCAGACATAAAATGATGCCAAGCTGACTTACTGTTTTGACTGTTTCTACATGTGGCGCAGCCCATACCTCAGCTTGGGCCTTCTTCTCAACTGCCTAAGAAGCAAGTAAAAATGGTAAACAGGAAAGAATAATAAATCAAACAAGCATCATTGAATAATCGATAGTTTAACAGAATATCCAGTCGCATACCTTCTGTATCATTATGTCCATGGCAGGTTTTCCATGCTCCTGCCAATGCTTCTCCAAGAGAGACTGAAATTCACAGCACAGTCAGCAATCCATTTACAATAACATTAGGTGTGGTTTTTGCCCAAAAATCAAAATACCTGGTAGTGAGTCCAATGAACTGCCAGCCAACGTGGAAGCCATGCCCCATGCACCTGAATTTTCAAAGAAAGGAAAGAAAAAAGTTATCATCATCTACAACATAACAAGGCTGGAAAGGGAAAACCAAGGAAACAATAGCAAAAGACGATAAGCAATAGTATTTTTCTATCTAAGAAGAAAAGCATTGGTATTCTTAAACACAAGCTGATTTACATACTAGCAAGACATTACTTGGCATGAAAAGAATATCATACAAAATGAATGATGCTCATTTTGACCGAGTTCTAGCTCTAACCCACAATGCATCGATGAGAGCTCATCTTCAAATTTCACAGTTTTCCAAATCTTATTCTAGTAACTAGGTCAGTGAATAAGGGTATCAGACGAAATATATGATGCAGAATGCAACTTTGATCCCTTTTCTACTTTATGCTAGGCTATGCAAGGTGCAGGAAGCATAACCTTCCACGTGAATCAGATACTCACATCCAAAAAGATTCATAACTAAATCGCCATACATCACCACTAATCAGAGACAACTTCTACATATCAGAACTCCAAAAACCAAGCAAGAGGGAAACAGATCGGGAACTACAAAAACCACCTTTTCCTCCTTATATTGATGATGACATGTGTGTGTTAAAACAAATCCCACTTTTTATCTTCTTATAAAAATTTTATTATGACTGATGGTACAGTTCTCGTGATAACCCACAAAAATTGAAAAATTAGCTAAATTTCAAATTACAAATAGATTTTACATGCTAACCATATATCAACAGAATCCAAGGACATCTCCACATGATTTAACACAAAAGAAGACCATATTTGATTATACCACCCAAAATAAAGGGCAGACAAGTTGTAAAACTTTAGAGATGCCAGCTACAGATATATGCATGGTACTGACTACAGATTTTTTTCTCCCCCAAAATTCATCAACAAGTTGCAAATAGACAACCACCAAACAAGACACCAACCACACATTTACAGCATCAACATTTCTGTAAACACCAAAAAACCCATACTCCATGAATATCTGCCTCCGCGGCCTATTTGCCTAGTGTATTTATGATTATTATCATAATTCCATTATTCTTCTCTTTAGCCAATATCACCCACTTACGTGACAGCCATCATCCTTTATAACAGAAATAGTTTAGACCACATCTATCAACACATTTCTCTCCCCTTTTAGCCGTCAAATCATCCATATTAAATACAACATTAAAACCACAAGCTAAAGACCAGCATCACCATCACCGCACTACCCATTACTACTAAGACTATCCACAATCCTGCTGTCCCTAAAACTACTGATATACCCAGTTCCAACATACAAGGACTGATACAAAAAGCTAACCAATAAAACCAGCATAACAAACCCTTAACACAATATGAATGGTAGTACAGAGGCATCAGGATGCCACGGTAGACGGAAACATTAATATGGATCACAGCATTACTCAGCTAGCTAGGAAATTGAGACGGAACCTCCTATTTTTAATAGTAATCATAATCCTGAATTCACATGACAAGATAAAGGGAGCTAGAACATCTACCTCCATGAGCTCCTTCATCTTCGATGTGGCTTCAAACCTTGCTCTAATCATTTCCTCCTGAAAAGCAAAGAAATTGTTATCCACCACACAAGTTTCACAACATTTGAGCTGTTTCTATTATCAAGAGCACCTCAGCAAGTTGAAGAGCTCGTTCAGTTTTTTGCAGTTTCTCCTTCTGTTCATCAATGGTCTTCTGGAGCTGCATAAACCAAATAGAAACAAATCACTTCATATAATTGGGCTTGAAATATTGCACGTAGCCACCAAAACTAAATTGGACCAGCAGTAAGAGCTAGAAGATATTTGTAGACATCACAAGAAGAAGTCATGGTAATTAAAGTTTGTTTAGCAGCAGAATGAAATCAATTTGTGTAATTAAAAAGCAGCTTAAATTCCAAAAATACTTCATCATTTATATAAGCTTCACAGTATCTTCAAGAAGACAGTCATCACCGCTTACTGCTGTATAAAATTCTCATGTGACATCATCTCAAGGTACGAGAGGAGAAGGGCGATTTTTTTAATGAAAGGAGATGAGGGATCGCTATTTATGAAAGTCAGAGCTCTGCACCCACTTTCACCTTTATACGTTTCAGCTAACTTTTTAAATCCATTATCCATCTTTCTGTCTGAGCTCAATTATTGGTGTAAACTGATAAGGAATAGCATTTAGAAGTTCTTTTTTTGGTACTTTTTTGTTTGTTGCAGTGATTGAACAAGGTTGGATAGCTGAATAACAACTCTAACATGATGCGCAGGAGAAGCTCTGTCCCCAAGAACCAGAATAACATACATCCAACTGCCTTCTCTAATACTTCTATTGAGGTACTTGGCTTTAGGCTCTCAATTAAAAGGAAACATTCGTTAAAAGGACAAGCAAAAGAACGTAATCCTCAGATCTTTAAAAAAAAAAAGGACAATGCAGCTCTACAATGATGTTCTTTTTTTCTTTTTATATTTTTAACGCGTAAAGGACCTCCAATCTAAAATTGCAATATATGCTTTGTTGCTGAAGCGCCCCACTTGTGGGACTATACTGGGCATGTTGTTGTTGCTGTTGTTTGTTGCTGAAGCTTTTGTGGTGAAATCTCACTTGCTAGAATATATACTGTATCGATTAGCTAGTGCGAAGATAACACAACTTACAGAGAAAAAGGAAAGAAAGCAAATGAGCTACTTATTCTCTTATAAAAAGGTAATGCAGATCAAAAGCTTACCTTGTCAACCTTCAAATTTAACTCAGTTACTCTCTTCTCAGTTTCACCTTTATGTGCTTCGAAGTCTTTTTTCTCCTTATTCTTCAATTCAACTTCCTCCGTTAGTCTCTCAACTTGCTTTTCAAGCTGATCAGCTCGTGCACGAGCCTTTCCAACTTGCTCCTCGGCATCTAGTGTTCCCTTTTTCTAGACAAAAAAAAATATACAACTTCAGAGGCGACGAATTACATCAACATTGTCAAGACGTTTTCATCAAACTAAAATTGCATTACAAAAGCCAACTTGCTAATTTGAGAGACTCACCTGTAGAGAAGCCAACTCAGTTGACAATGACTTAACCCTCTCTGACTTCTTTTTTATTGTCTTCTCCTTGTCAGCAATCACCTCATCCTTTCCTTTCAGTGCTCGCACAGTCTCCTCAATGTTTGATTCTTGAAAAACAAAACCCATTAGAAGGAAAGAGAGACAGCTAGTAATCAATATTTTGTAACCAAAACTTTAACAAATGAGAGCACCCTACATCCCAAGCACCCATCCAAAACTCACTGTTGCAGAATTAACTCACACTAAGAGAGAAAACTAGATGAAATTTAAAAGCCTCATTATGTGAGGCCAATAAGGGGAGCCTTGCCATAACCGGTAAAGTTGTTGCCATGTGACCAGGAGGTCACCGGTTCGAGCCGTGGAAACAACCTGTTGCAAGAATGCGTACAATAGACCTTTGTGGTCCGAACCTCCCCGGACCCCGCCCATAGAGAGAGCTTAGTGCACCGGGCTGCCCTTTATTACTTGACACCAACAAAGTACTAAGTACGACAACTGTGGAATAGGAACCTACCGCAATTATAAGTCTGTCTCAAATTTTTACAAGGATGTGAAAGTTATTTTTGGTTGTGACTCTATTCCAAATTCCCCAACTTGGACAGAGGTTTAGTTGTTGTTGTTTTTTACTCTATTCTGAATTAGCTGTGCTCCTTTGAAGACCCCTAAAATTTGTACAGTTCACAATAGAGAATGGTAATTGTAGATTATCTCTAAATTTTGTGCAGTTCGTGAAAGTGTATCTCTCTATCTCTGGAGCATTGCTTCACTACCAAACAAAAAGGCACCATTTATTGTGGCGCCTTTACACGTGGCTTTTTCTTGTGCTTCGAATGTTCAAAGTTATCAAAACAATTATGTTCATCTTTGGATTGACCCTTCCACAGAGACACTGCAACATAAATCTTGGTGTTAGAGAAAACTAACAAATTGGAGTCTGCAGCTTCCTATAGCAAAATCT